AATCACAGGGGCTTAACTTGTTGAAATGTTTTACTATGAGTTGATGATTACATATACATCTCTTTGTCCCTTAAGTTGGGGTGTAAAAGTGTCAAGTTGAGCTCCTGCCACCCCACCCTTGACGTGACCTTGAGCTTGATTGATTTTATTAAGATCGAGTTTGGGCTCGAGCTCGAGCTTAAGTTTACAAATTCGAACATGCTAATGAACCATCTTGTTTATTATAGTAAAATGACAAAGAGAATGAATAATTAAGAGTTAAATAATTTAAACTCACTCAATATATAATATAAAATATTATTTCCTAAATATTTTTAATACTTTAATGCTAAATTTTAAACGAGTCGGCTCACGAGCTAATAAGTCGAGTCGGGGCTAGCTTGAGCTTTGCTTGTTAGCTCAATGAACTCAGCTCACGAGCCACTTATCGAGTTAAGCTCGAGCTTGCACATGAGTCGGCTTAGCTTACTTACGCTCCTACCCATAGACAACAAAGAATTACACAGTTTCTCAAGTTACAATGTTCGTGCACCTCAAAACTCATTGCCACACATAAGAAAGTAGTTACAGCGGGAAGAATTTCTAGAGTTTCAGTAAGCCTTCTTCGAGGTTGACCGGACAATTTTGATGATGCACAACTTTATAGGTTTCTATGTGAATCCACCGGTTGTTGCTGCACACAGTTTTTCATCATAAAGAGCAGGTGGAGATCAATGGTAGTTGGTGGCGGCCAAGGAGCGTTGGTCGACGGTCACTACAGGAATTGACGATATTTCCGACGGACAAAATTCATCAGAAATTTTGAAAAAGCTGTAGGTAGTTACATTTCGGATGGCTTACCTACGATTTATTGGACACAACAAAAATGCATGTCGGTAATTATTTACCGAAGATTTTAGTTCACCGATGGTTTTTTGACAATCATAAACCATCACAATATAATTAAATCCATATTGGTCATAAGTCGTCAGTTTTCATCGTTAATTTAACCAACGCTCTTAACTGTCAAAAAAGTGACACACTTCCGTTGGAAAACTTACACACCCATGTGCATGATCAGTTTTCATTGTTAAGAATCCAATATGCACTCAGATAAAAGTTGATGATAAGTAGAAATATCTGATGTTTCTATGCGAAAAAATTGAAAAAGAGAAAAAAATCTCAGGGCCTTAACTTGTTGAAATGTTTCACTATGAGTTAATGATTACATGTACAACCCTTTGTCCCTTAGGTAGAGAATGTAAAAGGGTCGAGTCGAGCTTGTGCCACCCCACCCTTGACTTGAGCTTGATTAGTTTTATTGAGATCGAGTTCGAGCTTAAGTTTACAAATTCGAGCAGGCTAATAAGCCAACTTGTTTATTACATTAAAATGACAAAGAGAATGAATAATTAGGAAACAAATAATAAAAACTCACTCAATATATAATATAAAATATTATTTCCTAAATATTTTTAATACTTTAATGCTAAATTTTAAATGAGTCAGCTCACGAGCTAATAAGTCGAGTCGGGGCTAACTTGAGCTTTGCTTGTTAGCTCATTAAACTCAGTTCACGAGTCACTTATCGAGTCAAGCTCGAGCTTGCTCATGAGTTGGCTTAGATTACTTACACTCTACCCATAGACAACAAATGATTACACAGTTTCTCAAGTTGCAAAATTCGTGCACAACAAAACTCGTTGCCCCACAGTAGAAAGTAGTTACAGCGGGAAGAATTTCTAGAGTTTCAGTAAGCCTTCTTCGAGGTTGACCGGACAATTTTGATGATGCACAACTTTATAGGTTTCTATGTGAATCCACCGGTTGTTGCTGCACACAGTTTTTCATCATAAAGAGCAGGTGGAGATCAATGGTAGTTGGTGGCGGCCAAGGAGCGTTGGTCAACGGTCACTACAAGAATTGACGATATTTCCGACGGACAAAATTCATCAGAAATTTTGAAAAAGCTGTAGGTAGTTACATTTCGGATGGCTTACCTACGATTTATTGGACACAACAAAAATGCATGTCGGTAATTATTTACCGAAGATTTTAGTTCACCGATGGTTTTTTGACAATCATAAACCATCACAATATAATTAAATCCATATTGGTCATAAGTCGTCAGTTTTCATCGTTAATTTAACCAACGCTCTTAACTGTCAAAAAAGTGACACACTTCCGTTGGAAAACTTACACACCATCGTCGGAAAAATGTTGCACTACGGTCAGCGTGAGATAAATAAGTTCAACGGTGCATTTTGTCAGAAAAGTGTAGCACATGCTGTAAATTTGTCAGATTGATGATTGCCGGTTATGGAAAGTTGTCGGATTGATGATCGTCAGTTATGACCCTCGGTGATTAGATAGATTATCAATTTTTCGGCGCTAAGTCGTCATAAACTGTAGCATAAAAATATAATTTGGTTTGGTTTCTCCATCTGCAATTCCCACACCCGCAATCATAACACTACACTTTCCACACATCACATTATACTAATCCAAGTAGTCATTAAACTATAATTGCAGAGTAATTAATAAAAGTAGACCATAAATAAGAATAAAAGAAATGTGTTGCATTGAACCAACCTAAATTTACATATGTATATCAGGAATAATCAACCAAATATAATGCCTGAATAATCAAACAACAAAAAAAATAAATCCTTACTGATCATCCTCCTCGTCGGTGCATCCTCGGATGTTCGTATTCCCCTCGCCGTGTTGTAAGTTATTAGCATCAAAAATCTGCTTTTATCTTCAGCTCCATCTCTGTTCTAATATGGCTACCTGGGTGGAGACCGCGACAACGACTCGGGTCTCAATATCCTTAGTAAGCCCAGCAACATGCCTATGCAACACATTGGAAGTGATAGAGGGATAAGTGTCTTAAACCATCGCTCAAGACCATACACCATAGTCCCGATCTTCCTCCATCCACAGGTTGTACTCAGACAAATCACGATTTGTGATCGTAATATCGCTCAACTCCTAGAAACGACTCTCTTTTAGCCTCTGGAAGGTCTTCTAGAAAAAAAAAAAAGAATAATGAAAGTTAAAGGCTTAAAAAACTTCAAAATTATTATTTTAATTTTATATTTATTATTCTTGTGGAATACTTTGGCTGCTTGCAATCTACTTTCCACCCAGGTCTGGTTGACTGCCGCCTATGAATATTCTCGTGTAACTCGACAACGAATGGGACTCATTCCTTCTCTGGAAAGTGTGAGTGTAATAAAATAGTGAGAATACATTTAATGTACAATAAAATTTAATGCAAATATTAAGTATCACCAGCCTCCTCGGATACTTTGTATGGTAGCGTCCCATCGGTGTGCTTGAAGAACCCCATGCCTCTGTGGTCAGAGCTGTGATTTTATCTCGCTTGCTCCCTCTTCTTCAGATACTCAGGTGAATCCCAAGACCCGAGCAATGAGGAAAACATATCCTCGCCAAGCCATAAGTGATGTTCGCACGTCCTTCATATATCGCCAAACATATTGCGAAGGCAGTCGCTCCCCTTGCACTTGAAGTTTCTTCTGATGTGGGCCTCCTCCTCGGGTAGCCAGAACCACAACCTCTACAAAATGAGTATTTTATGAACTACTAGATTCATGATCGAAATAATGGAGCAACAGATCAGTGCTTGCCAGACCTTGCTTGGGGACGCATGCACATGATCAAAATTTAGCAAATTTATGATGTGAATGACTAGAAGTTTCGTACTATGTCTTGGTCAGAAGGGAAAAAGACTTATAATTCTGGCGTTTGTGTTAAAGCAAATAACAGCTCAAACGATGAGATATGTTACTATGGGATTCTTGAAGAAGTTGGTGAATTACCTTACCATTGCTCTATTGGTGGGAGTGTATTTCTATTTAACTATGACTGGTTTGATTCTGTTTCTAATCGTGGAGTAAGGGTTAACAACCGTATAATTTCATTGAAGTAAAAGTGAGTAGTAGAGGTGGTAAATTTGATCACTTCATTTTAGCAAGGTAAGCAAGTCAAGTATTTCATCCTCTATATCCCCATAGAATAAGAGACAAAGTAAAGTGGGTAGTAGTCATAACCGATAAACCGATAGTGACTATTGATATTAAAAATTCCATTGAGCCATCTCACCAGGAATTAAAAATGATAGAGTCATACATTCCACTTGACCCTATCAATGAATTCGTAAATTTAATGGATGTTGATGACGAACACAAAAAAATTGATATCGATGAGATGAGCATGATCTAGCGATGATTTGGATGAAGTAATTTTAACTACATCATCAAGTGACTCATCAAAAGAGGTTAATAAAGATGAGTAAGAGTTATTTTGTTCTTACTTTGTACTTCTATGTTTTCAGCTTTAGTTATTTGTAGATCGCACTTTACAGTTTTCTCTTCCGTTTATTATGTACTTTTTTTTTTAGTTTCAATAGTCTGTGGATTGAACACATGCAATTTATCGCCATTTCTTTTTACTATATAGTATTGTACTTTCTTCATTTGTAGTATCTAGATGTACTAAATAAAGTTACTTTCCTGCTTGCGAATGACTTTTGGAGGAAGGGAGGAAGGGAGGAAGGGGCGGTATGACCCCCCGTCAGGGGACATGTTGATTATATTTAGGTAGCTTTTCAGTTTTATTAATTTATGGAGACTCAGATACCATTTTTTTGATTAGATGCTCACCTCAAGCTTCTTCTCAAAAAGCCTCTTTTTTTCCCATTTGTTTTATTTCATATTTCTTTACCAAGACTTTCGCACGATTTTTTTTTTCTTTCACTGAGAATTACTATATCTCGAATAACACAATTTAAAGATTTTGAATCTCTAAATTCTGATATCAATTTTTAATTTCATGGCTTTCACATAAATTCGGAATCGCATACGGTCGTGGATCACTAGTTCTGAACTGGGCTATATTTTATTCTCTGATTACGTAATCGCTTACGCTCTTACCAATCATCCCCTACATTATCATCATGGCTCATGAATATTAATCTTTTTTCAAAAAACAGGGCATATCTCCCCATCTAATTTTACAAAAAACTCTTATAATTCGAAAAGTAGCAGAGGAGCTAACCATATAATTCAAGCCAGACCTCTCCTTCCTATCTCCAAAATTAAACAAAACAAAAATGAGAAACATTACAACTAAGGAGGATGAAGCCTTTGCTGCCGCCATGCAACTCTGCGTCTCCAATATTTTTTGCAGCGCAGTGAAGGCAGCGTTTGATCTCGGCATCTTTGACATATTGGCCATGGCAGGTCCTAACTCCCAGCTGACTGCCGTCGAGATTGCCGGAAACCTGCCGGAATGTCGGCATGAAAAAGCTGCAATCATGCTAGAACCCATATTGGGATATCTTGCTACTCATTCCCTCCTCACCTGCACTACTAATTCCTCGTTGAAGCAATATGGGCTCACACCAGTAAGCAGGCTCCTAACTAAGAACAATCATGGGGCATCTTTAGCTCCTCTCATGCTCGTGGCTAATCAAAAGGCTTTTATAGATAGCTGGTATATGATTTTCATTTATGTTCCATGTAATTTTATATAAATCATAATATTGTGTTTGTTTTTGTATTTGTCTAGAAGTTTTATGTAAAAGTGTAGTCTGGGCCAAAATGTTCATACATCCACTTCTAACTTTGAGATCTTGAATTTCAGCCCCTTCCTGCTTCTCCATTCAATTCTCCTTCGTCTGTTACATCAAGATTTTATAAATATAAGTGTTTATTTGTGAAGGACCTATGAAATGCAAAATGAGTTCATGGTACGTTTCCATTGATGTTTTTGACAGGGATCATTTGAAGGAAGCAGTGCAAGAGGGAGTGAATCCATTCAAAAGAACTCATGGCTTAACCTTATTTGAGTACATGGCTAAGAACCCAAGTTTTTGTGAGTTATTTAATAAAGGCATGGCAAGCAGTAGCAATATGGTGATAGAAAAGCTTGTTGAAGAGTATGGTGGTCTAAAGCAAGTAAAAGAGCTCGTCGATGTTGGCGGTGGAAATGGAACTTCATTGAAAATGATCATCTCTAAATATCCTTATATTAAAGGAATTAACTTTGATCTACCTCATGTTGTTTCTGAGGCACCATCTTTTCCAGGTAGGTGGCTTGTAACTACTATTGTGGCTTCTAATTAGATGCTGATAACCTAACCATTGATTGTTATTAGTGAGATAACTAGGCCAAATAATATATCATAAGTATGTGCACATGCTTAATATTCTATAAAGTTCTTGTCTTTGAAATTTCTGCAATGTAACTCATTTCATATTTATTGAAAATACTCATTACTTGATTTATGCCTATAATCTTTAGGTGTGCAACATGTTGGTGGGGACATGTTTATCATGATTCCAAGTGGAGGGACTATTTTATTAAAGGTATTTAAACTCTTAATAATATATTACCGTTTTTAATAAAATTTTTAAAAGAGAGAATTTTAAACATCAATTATAAAACAATCCAAAATAGTAAAAATCGACTATTAATAATTTTAACTTGCTTTATTATATCAAACTGAAGTCCAACAAATATCTTTGGGATGTGATATAATATTTCATATATAAACAACTTAAATTTAACTATAAAAAATCTACATAAAAATAAAATAATCATAATGGAAACAAAGGTGTAAAAGACACACTTAACTCATTTTTTATTGTTCTTAAAGCAAAATATCTATGTTGATGAAGAGTGTTTGACATCAATCTACCATTTTAAAAATCAACTTTGTGACTTATTGAATTTCTAAAATCAAATAAAAAAATTTGATTGATCTTCTATGCAAAATGATTCTTTAAGCACAACGAGTATTTTTAGACTTACAACACTGAATAAATAAATTCATAAAACTAGGGCTATAATCGAGCAGAGTATATTGATGCGTGCTAGAAAATTTACGGTGGTGGAGTAATGGTTCATCGTCTTAGTGTTATACGAGAATTCAACACACACTCAGCTGAAAAAAAATAAGCAATAATGACATCATATGTTTTTATGTGGAAAAACCGATAAAGGGAAAAAATAATGGGGTCAGACTCAGTTGTAAGAATCCACTATATGTTGATGATTGCAGAAATCTCTTGTCCCACAGACGGGAAAGGGTAACTTGATTTTTCAAGTTACAACATCGACTAACAGCTTCTGGTAAGTGGCGGACAACAGTGATGGATTGCAATCAATGACGGTCAGCGACGACAGACGACGATTAATAGTGCTCGACGACGATTAGTGGTTAAAGATGGCAGTCAATGGTGGTCAATGCTGATCAACGGGTGTCGACGACAGTCGGCGGTGGTCGACGACAATCGTCAGGTGTCGATGACAGTTGGCGGTGGTCAACAGTGGTTAGCGGCGGTCAACGGTGGACGATGGTGGTTGACAGTGATCGGCGGGTGTTGACGATAGTTGGTGGTGGTCGTCGATGGTTAGCGTCGGTCGGCGGTGGTCGGCGGTGGCTGACGGCGATCGATAATGACAGGAATGGTGCTGGGCTTCAGCTCAATCTCAAAACTTCAAGTTCTCTCTCAAGCTTTAAGTCTTTTTTTTCATGAGATGGGTGGGGCTATATTTATAGTATTCTCGGTGCAATTATTCCAGGAATATGAGCCATTTTGATCGGACGGTCCGTCGAGTTTCATTCGATCAGACGATGTTTGATGGACATTTGAGTGCCTTAACGAAGTTGAAATTGAGCAATCTTGGGCTCGTTAGATTCGCCTTGCTGAGATGCTCGATTTGACTATGAACTCATCATATTTGACATATGTTCGACCTTCCAAATGTGTCGTAAATCTTCTAAGAATGATTTATTGCAGTGATATTTAATGATTTGATCCGAGCTTGATTTGACTCGGAATGGACTAGTTTTTATATCATTTGGTTCGTCTCATCGAGCTAGTCAGTTTGACTATAAGTTTGCTGAAATTGAAGATTTGGATAAATTTTTATCAAGATTTCAACACTCATTGCTCAAAATAGTCTCGAGATCCGTTTCATGCCTTGAGGTTTGTGTCGAATGATAGAGATTTGTTGGAGATGTACCATATATCATAGTTCTAACTTGACCTGGTATAATTTTAAGTTGTTCATGTTCGACTTGAGCTTATGTCGAGCTTTCAAATATTGTCAAGTTTGAATTGCTTAAAATTTTAAATGTTTGGACTTGATTTATTATTGATTTGTTTATGACAAATGAACAAGTATTTAAACAAGTTAATGAACGAGCAAAAAATTCAAACGAGTATGAAAATTTTCTTACAAAGAAATTTAGTAAAATAATTTTACAAATTTGATCGCAACTATTAATTTATTGATTAAAAACTCTAAATCCGACAATATCTTAAATCTCATTTCTGCTACATTGTGCCCTAAATCCTTCACTTAGGAGATATTTGATAGAATAATTTGTGTAGCATTAAGTATGATTTAACCTAAATCATTCCGAACAACTGAAAATGACAACTTTAAAACCTACAGAAACTTTGTATCAAGTATTTATATATCATATATGACATAAGCAATCATCGAGCTATCAACAAATGAGTTAATATTTTATTTAATTAAATTTCATTTAAATAATATATCATTTTATATCATACGAGCTATCTTCAAATTTAATATCTAGTATTTATCAAGTCACTTGCTGAATTCATGAACATAAATTAAAGAAGTTTAACTATGTTCATGTTTAGTTCATTTAAGCATCGAGTTTTTAAAAATTGTTCAAGCTTGTTTGTTTATCAATTTGAACAAACATGATAGAGCCTTAATCGAGCCGAGTTCAAGTTGTTCATCAAGTGCATTGGCTCATTTGCAATCCTACATAAAACATATAATTAGAGATAAAAAAAAATTATGGTCATATTTCTTAAACTTTTAACCACTGAATTTTAATGATTTTTTCTTTGTGAATACAAACAAAATTTAACTTGATGTTTGTATTTTCTTAAAATGTTTTTGAATTCTCTAACTTGTCTTAACTGCATATGGAATTCTTAATGTGTTTTACTGCAGTGGATTCTTCATGATTGGAATGATGAGGAATGCCTTAAAATTTTGAAGAACTGTTGGGGCGCATTGCCAACTTTTGGAAAAGTGATCATTGTGGAACAAATTCTTCCAGAGATTATTGAAGAAAATATCGTTGTGCAACATAGTTATGCCATGAATTTAATCATGATGACTATTGCTGATGCAAAAGAGCGTACTGAGAAAGAGTATCGATCGTTAGCTAAAAAAGCAAATTTCTCTGAGTTCAAAATCGCATGCAAAGTATTAAACCATTATGTGATGGAGTTTGTAAAATGATTGTACTTTTAATAATCTAATTAAATAAATTATGTTGTTTGATCTTTAAATATTGTCATCATATTTTCTTTTTATTGAATTATTATATGTGATGTGTGCTGGAAAATTCGTGACGATCAAGTATTGATTATTTATAGTCTGAGCATTGCATGATAAATCGGCACACACTGAGGGAATTAAAGAGAAGTAAGCAGTAGGCGACACCTCGATTTTTTTATGTGAAAAACCATTGAAAGGGGAAAAAACAACAGGGTGCAGTGCCCGAAGACAGAAGCTACACAAGCTGTGGACCCGGTAGGCCGTAGTTGGTCACATAGACTGTAGTGGTGAACTACGATAAAACACACAGGCTGTATTGGCCAGAGTCGGGAGATGCTCAAGCTGTAAACTACACAGGTGGAAGATAGTCACATAGGTCATAGTGCTAAGCGGTGATAACGTTCGTAGGCCATAAAGCTCAAAATCAGGATTTTGCAGCCGTGGACCACATAAGTCGTAGTTGATTAAGTAAGTCCTGATGGTGGGGTGCAAGGAAAGAGCCTTAGGAGTCCGAATAAAGTTAGCGTTATTAGAATGCATTGTTACACCGTCATTACACTGTTTTCAAGGCGTGTCGTCGTATGGTGCACTAGATGATGTATTTGCTCCATCAGATGCTTCATTGTTCTACAACACACACAGAGATTCTATAGTGCACATGGTCATTCTACAAGAGACTTATATGCAAGGAATAGGTGGTTACCAATAGTGATTGATAGTAGAGGGAAGCATATAATGGGCGGTGGGTGGTGGTCAATGGTGGACGACTACAGGAGCGGTAAGAATTCGTCGAATCCTTGGTGCATAAGTGATTCTGAGCTTCAACTCATTCTCTAATCACCAATCTACTTTTGGCTCTTTATCTAGGTCCTCTCTCAAGAAGGGTAGAGCTCTATTTAAAGACTCTTGGTTAAAGATAAGAAATGAATCTAGAGCACTCTAATTAGATGACAGGAGAAGGTTGCCTCAATCAAATAATATTCTACTGACATTTTGCCTTAATGATGTCAAAATTAAGTGATCTTGGGCTCATTGGATTTATCTTTTCAAGACACTCAATTTGATTATAAACATGTCAGATTTAGAATTCATTTGACATTCTAATTATGAAGTGAAAGCTTCTAAAAGTGAGTTAAACGCTTGATCTGAGCTTGATTTACTTGGATTGGACTAACTTTAGTATCATTGGGTTCATCGAGCTGGTCAGCTTGACTGTAAGTTTCCTGAAATTGAAGTTATGTATCACTTTTAATCAAGGTTTGAGTGTTGTTATTCTAAAAAAAATATTCTAAGATTGATGCTATGTCCTGAAATTTATGTCGATAATGAAAATTCTTTGATGAGATACCAATAAATAATTGACTTATCATTTTAAAAAAATTATCTAAAAATATTCTAACTAGATTTCTAATCATAGTAAGATTCAGACTTCAGAGCCATTAAATTGTATTATACTAATCTCTAAATAATAGTTAAAACATATATGACTTAATTTTATTTGTTTTCAATGTTATATAAAAACATTATATAGTATTAAACTCTGCATAAATAAGACAATATTAAAATTTATAATAATATGGCTAAGGGTCTAAACGAGCCGAACACGAGTGAGCTCAGACTCAACTGGTGTTCGCCTTGTTAAAAAATATTACTGTTCGGCAGTTGTAAGATGTTAAGGGTTGGGACGATATTTAAATCTTATTGTTTACAATAAACTATCATTTAAATAAAATTTAATAAATTTGTATTCTATTTTTTTATTAATAATTTTAATTGATTATAAATCTTTGTACCCTTGTAGTCAATTCATTTTTTAAAAACCACTACTGATGAATAGTTATATATATATATATATATGTAGTTGATGGGCAATATTTCGAACCAAAACGAGCTGAACACGAACAAATAAATCTTTGCTCGTGTTTTATATCGAACACAAAAATATGTTCATAATAGCTCGTTAACTTAGTAAATGAATGAAATATGAGCTTCTTAAGGAACTAATTTAACAACCTTAAATATAGTTTATATTAAAATATATTGACATATTTCTTTTTCACTATAATTTTATCCGAACCAAATTTAGACCGACGGCCTATAGTGGTCCCTAAAATTTGGAGCTACGTCATCAGGATAGCAACGTTCATTTCACGCCGCCACAGGAAAGGCTACATTACCCATTTTGCTTCGTATAAAGTTGTGAACCGTTGGATCGCCAGCTTGTTAGCTTAGGGCTCTGATTTATTTGTCGCCTTTGGATGCTGTACCTTATAAACGACGCAAAATGATGCTTCATGGAATAATAACAATAAAGGACAACCTGTGGGGGGGACCTAAGGCACTATTTTAATTGGCATACTAATTAAATTTATTGAAATAAATAAATATATATTTTTTGTTATGGGATACTGAAATAAATAAATATATGTGATTCTTATTACAATTTACAGAAGTTTTTCAGAAGGAAGGGCATATAATGCATCATGATTTGTTCAATTTTTATTAGGTATGACTCATACACCATAATGGGACAGATGCTGGAGCGGTGTGGAGCCCACTAGCTGAGTGGAGCGAAAGGATCTGTCAAATCGGGGGAGTTTCATTATGTGGGTAGGGGTACGGGGGCAACACCCTGCGATTTAGTACACGAGTAATTTAAGTAATTACATATTGTACTATAGGGTTATATATATGTTTTGTTTGCAACCCTAGGTGAGTCTCTGAGACTCCGAGATTTTGAATCTTGTATTATGTACTCTTTTTTGAATATTGAAAGGGAAGTTGTCGCTCTGCTTCCGAGAATGTAGGCATTTTTTGTCGAACCTCGTAAATCACTATGTATTCTTCCAGATTTGTGTCGATTCATGTTTTTCTTCGCCTTAATTTCTCAACAAGTGGTATCAGAGCAAGGTTCGAGAGCATGGAGGAAAAATTTGGGCGGCACAAAAATAAAGAAGATTTTGACAGTGGAGATTGGCGGCTAGGGAGGGATTTCAACAAGGTTCGCTGCAGTTTGGATTTCGATGCAGAGGAAGTTCGAAGACGAAGAGGGCTTCAGACGGTTGGGCAGAAAGACGAGGGCTTTTTCGTGAAGGCTTCAAGTGCGACACCTAGCGCGTAGACAGTAGGAGTTCAGGCGAAGCTTTGGAGGAGTCGACACAGGAGGCATCAGCGACATCGACAGAGGAATCACAGCGTTCGCGATTGCGACAGAGGAATCGCGGCTTCGACTTTGGCGGTTCAGACGGTCTTCGGTTCAACAAGAGGTTTCGGCTCCAGGCGAAGTCGCTACAGGCAGAAAAAGAAGGTTCGACGTCAGCCAGGACTAGATGCGAAAATTGGAAGCTCTGATTTAATTTTTTTGCTGGAGGCGGAAGAAAATTGGAAGAAAAATAAGTTTCAATTTTATTGCAGAGAAGAAAATTGGAATAGAAATCAAGTTCCAATTTTATTCCTTTGCGGGAGGAAGAGAAGAAAATTGGAAGGAAATAAGTTCCGATTTTATTTCTTTGCTAAGAAGAAATTTAGAAGGGATATTTTCCAGATTTCTCTAGAGGCAATAAAAGAAATTTCCTCGTACTAACCAGAAAAATCTTGCTGCACGCGGAGATTTTCCAGGACACAAAAAAGGCAAGGAAAGGGAATCTGCTGCTGCACTCGGGAAAGAAAAGATTTCTTTCTGGAATGAAAGCGGAGGTAGAGTTTTTCTAGAAAGAAAGCGAAAACAGAGCTTTTCTGAGAAGAAAAGCGGAACTTTTCTGGATGAAAAAATGAGCTTTTCTGAAAAGCAGAGGTGGAGCTTTTCTTGGAAGTTTAAGAAAAAGAATTTTTGGGAAAGTTTAATTATGAAAAATTTAATGAAGGGAAAATTTTTTTTTCTGAGAAACTTAATTAAGGGATTATTTAAAAGGATTTGTGGTCTAACCCACTTTGGTGTAAGAAACTCCATAATGTATTTCTCCTAAGGGATTGAATATTCGCAAGGTGGAGATTTTTCTCCTAAAAGGCTGAATATTCCCAATGTGGAGGTTTTTTCTCCTAAGGGGCTGGATATTTGCAAGGTGAAGATTTTCTCCTAATGGGCTGAATATTCGTCAAGATGGAGATTTGTTAGTCATATGTATTTCTCCTAAGGAGTTGGATATTCACCAAGGTGAAGATTTGTTAGATATGACTCATATACCATAAATGGGACAGATGCTGGAGCGGGGCGGAGCCCACGAGCGGAGTGGAGCGGAATCATCCGTCCAATCGAGGGAGTTTAATTATGTGGGTTGGGGGTGCGGGGGCAACACCCCGCGGTTTAGTACAAGGATAATTTAAGTAATTACATATTGTACTGTAAGGTTATATATATGTCGTGTTCGTAACTCTAGGTGAGTCTCTGTGACTCCAAGATTTTGAATTTTGTATTCTGTACTCTTTTCTGAATATTGAAAGGAAATTCGTCGCTCTGCTCCCGATGATGTAGGCATCTTTGTCGAAACTCGTAAATCTCTGTGTATTTTCTAAATTTATGTCGATTCATGTTTTTCTTCGCCTTAATTTCTCAATAATTTTCAAAACAATAATATTGTTGATGAGATAGTGAAGTGAGTTAGAAATATGTGGAATATTTCATGAGATAATATGCAAGATCATATATAATATGCCCATGTAATAAGCTTAAATATCTTTAATAGATTATAAATGGTTGTGTTGTGAGGTTGTTAAAATCCGCTATTATTATGTATGCGTCGTTAATAAATTTTATCATTTAATATTGATGCATATTAGAAGATTTGTGATGATAGATTAATGTATTATTGTCTTAGTATTGTGCAAGAATCCTGTATACACTCAGATAAAAGTAATGACCAATAGAAATGTTTGAAGTTTTTATGCGAAAAAATCTAAAAGAGAAAAAACCACAAGACCTTAACTCATTAAAATGTTTTACGATGAGTCGATAATTACATGTACAATCACTTGTCCCACAGGTAGAGGTGTAAGAGAATCCAGTCAAGCTCGAGCCATCCCACTCTTGTTTTGGGCTTGAGC